TAGGCGTTATTGTTTATTTCACCGGTAAACGCACGGATGCGAAAATGGTATAATATAAAAGCAATAAACAACACATTTTCGTGCGTTCCTGGTGAAACAAACCTTGGGATATTGGGAAAACACGAAGCGAAGCGAATACAATGGTATTTATTTTGAGCAAAATTATAAAAAAATAATATAAAGATGATTCATTAATTTTTAATTTAAAATACCTCCTTGCCTTCAGATCACAGTATGGTGCCAATGTATCGTGCAAAGCTATCGCTAATTTGCATATCACACGAATATTATATTCAAGCTGCGTGCGTTACGTATGCTCACAAACATTTAACGTTTTGTGTACTCGTATGTCGAATTTGAGCTGAGAACGCCCTTGCAGAGCCAAGTGTGATATTTGGCATTTTGTATTAGAGAAGTCTCGAGCTGAAGCCATATAATACAGGCAAGAGCCCGTACTTTGGGATTTTGAAAGCTCGAGTGCATGTAAACAAAGACATTTGAAATCACGATGTCATCGCAAAATACCAGGTATTTTACTTTACTAGAGTTATTTATTTGTCATATTTTCTGCATACGTTTCTGTAAATTAAGGTTTAGTTATTCTTAGGTTACCGTTTAGGCTGTCGGATTCAAACTTTTCGATATTTTGGCCTTATTGACCTTGAGTTTACCGTTCATGATGGTTGCCGAGCTCATGTTGACATAGGAAACTAGACCGAAATACAATACAAATCGGTATTCACTCATGGACATGACATCTATGAATTTTATTCTTAGATTCCAATTCAGTATGGAAACTTTACAAATTATTTGGAAGGCTATTTCGACTTTGATAATTGATTTAAAAGCGGCTTGCTTCACTCACTTGTGTAGCCCACCGCTAGTTAAATAATGTCCTACCAGTTCTAACCATTGTGAGCTTCGACTGGTAATTTAAGCAATCATTGAAGCATACGAATGATTATTTTTCTGTATAAAAAAACTCAGAAGTAACTTGTCAAACATTTACATACACAAGTTTTCGCTTTATTTACTTCGTAAATGGAATACATAGTCCACTTAGCTTCCGTTCATGGCTCTCAGTCCCTACAACMACCTTACCCTAACCCTGAACTTATGTAAAGTTAACCCGGAATATGAAATAAATCTATTAACTTCTCCTTATCTGACCTTAAACCTTAAGATACATGTATGCGACCATTTTATTGTAAAGTATCGAAGATTGAAAAATTGTGGACAAAGGTTGCTAGGTGACGTATTTAGCACCACTTGGCGAAATATTGTTTTTGTAGATCCTATAAATGTTTGGTATTTTGTAATAATAAAAACGTGCTATTTGGATGCCAACTTTATTTCTAGACTTTTGACTTTTAGAGGTCGTGAGTACGACGAGAACGAGTTTGAAAGGATCACACTTTATAATGACATAATAATCCTGGACTTAAATAAACAATAAAATAAACAGACCACAGAAAAATCAATTATTTTTTTCAAAATTTAAAGAGAGAGATTATATMGCTTTTGACGTTTTGTGAAATCGCGCATCTTTCCCAACTATTGTAGCAGTAGATGTTGTACTWCTAGCCTCGTTTTCATACTTAATACATCGCATYGCATTTCTGTTTATGAATATACCAATATTGGGATGGTCATCTGTTAATAGTATCCGTGAGTTTCGGCTAAGACTGTCGAAGTCAAGAAATTATCAAAAATCATCAGTGGTTTCTAATCGAAAGCGAATTGCTACGAGGTTGATAAGCTAAACATCGATTAATATTTTGCTGTGGTTTTAGATATCTGCTGATCTTGATAGTACGTGTATATATTAAGCTGTACTTTGCAAACATAGCCAGTTCCAATGCGATGATTATACACATCTCTTGTCGATTACTTTGAATACTTCACGAATCTCGAAAGGTGATTTCCCTGTTTCACTGCCATTTATATATGAGCTGTCCATTTATTTTGGAGCCGATAAATCATCATTAGACTGATTCCATAAGTCGTCGATTTTTCGGTTTGTCGCTCAAACTCGTAGATTCAAGTCGGCGTTTCTCTGTTTAGAGTATTACCATCTGCAAATTGCGAAATTATTTCGCTTTTTACAGGATTTAAACATGGAAATGTCTTCGTTTCGCTGTTTACAGGTTTCCTAATTAAACCTGTATAAAGACATAAGTCCTTATTCAGTAAAAGATAGATAAATTCTGACTCAAAGTCTGTAAGAAAACAAATCTTAACCAGTGATTCTCATTAGATATTCCAGAAAGTAAATGTATTACTGCGCTTGCGTTCTTCTCTGGTCAAAACTGGTTTTACCGACGGCTGCAGTTCAAAGTACACTGATCTTATGGGCTTTTGACATCCGATCAATAAAAAAAAACAATTAAGAAGTGTTTACATAGAAGTGTTGTACAAGATCAACAGCCAATAAGCTATTGTAAAGCAATATATAGTTGAGTTCTCACTGACAGCCGGTCGTTGTTATGACAACTAGAATRAAGTTGTTCATTTGAGTAGAACTCTCTGAATGCTTTTCGAGCCCCTTTACAATCGCATTGATTCTGAAATATCTAGAAATTTACGTTGACATTTTTCACTGAACATGCGCTTAAATAAACCCAGGGAGAATCTAGAACGGAGAAAAWATGACATCAACCAATCAGATCACTCCATTTAATTGGCATCCAGGCTCCACTGAATATCACAGGCAACCCAAGCAAAGCATTTGATTCAATTTTTTTTTTTTTTTTATAAAATACATTTTACCTTAATCTCATGTGTTGCTGAAAAAAATATCTTAAATCTTAATTTTTGCCGCCAAAATCCCCTCAGCGGCATGTCTCTAGGATCCTTCTATCCAGAATTGGGCAATATTTCAACGGACAAATCCAACCGTGCCAAATCGTCATGTTTTTACGCTATTCTGACTCAATTTTTGAATCCGTTCAAGCATTCATCGAGCTTGATGGACACCGTTCCCTCTGATTGGACGACAGTTACCATGGAAGCAATAAACAACACATTCAGTTTCGTGCGTTCCTGGTGAAATAAACCTTGGGATATTGGGAAAACACTCAAGTTCTCCCAACATCCCGCGTGGTTTATTTGCACCAGGAACGCAAGAAAATGTGGTGGTTATTGCAAAAATATTAGCTATATTAAACACGACCTACTTTTTCTTTTTTAAGCAGTTCCAATGCGACTAACCCCTGTAATCCTACCGCGCAAACTRCCTTCTACATGTTATTCAACCAGATGTGTCTTATACCAGCGGTAAGAAACTACAAACTCAGTGCAAGGATTTGTTTAAAAAGAAATAAACATTATTTATTACTTTTCAAGGTGGCGCTGGCAACATAGTTTTGTATTCACTAATMAAGGTTGCGCCTAGATAGCCGGGCTATCCATTGTGTTTCTTAACGAAAGAGTCAGCCTTGCCACCTAGGGGCACCCATGCAAAGCACAGGGTCTTTGTAATCCCTCCACGCAGTTTGATCCAAAGCGTTCTTCTTAAGTCGGTTCTGATTGATTCTTGTTGTGTTTCAGGCGATTGTAGTGATTATATTTCTGTTTATGACAAAAAGAGCTAAGCTGAAAAAAGGCTGTTTAGATGGACGCCCTGGAATACAAGTGTAAGTGAGACAATATTGACACATCGTGTTTGCGAGCAATGAGAGTTCCTTGAGCGGACGCGGACGCCATCCCGCCTTTTCAAAGAAACGTTTGATCGTTTTGAGTAGGCAAGATGTGTAAGACATACATGAGGGCCGCGATTTATGTCAGGGAACCATTCACGATTGTCATATTAATAAACATTTTTTTTTTCAGTCCTGTCGATTTTCTGGGAGAGGAAAAGAACCGGTTCTCGTATGTTGCTGGTTACGGTGCAATGGCCATTGCTGTCGCAAATATGTTTTTATCTAGCAAAGGGTCAGACATGGTTTTTAAAGTTGAGGGACATCCCTTTATCAARGGTAAATATTATTTAATATTCAAATTATCGTGCTATATATCGCCACAAATATTCATCACAACCCATTGTCTTCGTAATCAGCGCGCCGGTCTACTTTAGCGCTGGCTTGTCAACTCTGTAGACCTTGGTCGAATCTCAGTCGGGTCGCCATACGTGATTTGWRTTTCTTTCGTTCTCTCTTGCTTCGAGGGTTTTTCCGGGTATTTTCCGGTTTTTCCTTCCTAAAGTATATCGAACCATTTCTGTCTGCTGTGCTCARCGTTCAGTCGCCCATGCTACATGAATATAGCACTTCGACTTGAGAGCGCGTCGAGCTGCGTCTTTCKCAATTCAGCACCCGTGCTGCCATGAAGGACGATTAGCAHCCAACACCTTTTCCTTTTCCTGAGRTCAATGGCGCTTTCTGTTTCTGTGATACCTTCGGAAATTSAGGTTGGTTCTCCAGCAACATTCAGCCTGCCTGAAGATGAAAAATAAAGTCCATTACATTGAACTTTGCAGTATTATCTACCAAAGAAATCATTATATCTGTATTTTGTTAGTGTTTCAGAGTATCGTTACTGTGATATGTATTGGTACTATATACCTACCATTCTTCATGTGTCTAAGTACTGATGCCAAGCTGCTTGGTGCTGTCTTTGGAGCTCTGTATACACTAATGAGGTAAGTGGRAATGCGCTAGTCCTGRCATCAGCTAGTCAGCTGCCTCTAGCGGTGCTTTCCATTAAGGCAGAACTGGCCGGCTAGTCCACTCTATTTAGAGTTATATAATGCTTTTTGTCAACATTTTTCAGTCATTTCGAGGTTTTCTATAGAATAATGGATAGAATTTGAAAATTTGAATTTCCTAACTAAATGGGAATGAGTAAAATGGCATTTTCTCTGGTCTAGCCAGCCAGTTCTGACAAATGGAAAGCGCACTAAGTTTGATGTTATGGGGTGTTATTGGGTCATTTAAAGTCTAAAGTTAGCGACAACAGTTATACCCNCTCCCATCACCTCGTTACCTTTTACAGATTATTTGTCAAACACTGATCACCATGTTCAATTATCAAACAGTGAAGGACGAGATATATGAGATACAAAAAAACTCAACTTGTCTCGCAACATTGTTGCTGTTCAAGTTTAGATTATTTTTTTTCAATTTTCATGTCCAGTTTTTGCTGCGTGGCACGGTACCAGTGCTTCAAGGTACAAGAAACATCAACTCCAAACTTGACCAAGAACAAATTCCTAGACAAATGAAGGGTTTTTCCTTCTTGTATTTGTTGACCTTTGAAAAATTGTTTGTCAACTGGTCAAAATTCCGCTAGGCACAGGAAGTGATGTTCGGTTGATATGGAAATAAATACGTTTTTGAGTAGTTCCAACTAACGTTTCAGTTGTGTTAATTCAGTTTACTCTCTTTATTGTAGACGTTCATATATTGGCCGATATTCTTCGACCTCCCTGCTCAGTTGTTTCACCTAGTTCTCCTCATACGATTCATAATTATCTTCGTCAAGGAAGCCAGGAACAAGTGCTGCAAGAAGAAGTTTGTTTGCCGTGATCTATTAGGCGTGAGTTTTGATTAAAAAAATCTCATATCAACACTGCTATATTATCACCATGATTGTAAGGTGTGGGCCATGACGCAATGGCGGACATATCGGTGGTTTGAACAAGAGGTCGAGCACTTCATCGCCAATGAACCACTGAAATAAAAATGACCGTAATTTGAAAACCCAGCATTCCATGTGCTGGTCGTGTTTTGGGATCCGTCTGTTTTAAAATATATATCTCAATTTATATAGTATGAAGGTTTCATAAATAACAAGTGCTTGCTTAAATTGCACTTTATTTTTATTTTCAAACATAAGCAAAGCTCGCATGAAGGATGTCAGTTTTCCGTGGCCCTTTTGAARTGGCGRACTTTAAGCMTCCGGCAAGTCTAAWKATTTTTCAYCTTCCCAACACTTTTCTCTTATTTTAGGAAGAATGTGACTTCACAGTGGGTCGTCACTACGTGGATCATGTTAAAACGCTTCTACAGGGAGTGCCTAAAATGTAGGTGTACTGATTAAAGAATGTATAAAACAATAGACTTCTGAACCTTTTACGTCACTACTTGATTTTCAATGCATTGTGGGATCAGTTTCAAGAGAAACCAAAAGAAATCCGCCATGTTTTGTCCCAAACATGTCCTACAATGCATTGCGTATACGGTACATGACGTAAAAGCTGCAGAGGTCTATTAGCTTTCAGTTATTTCAAATGTTAAAAAATAAAAACATTAGAAATTATATTAAAAAAATATCTTTCAGCAAGTGACGTTAAAGTCAGTACGGTAATTCCATCAAACATAACATTTCTTTTATCGAATTATATAGTAATATAATTGTGATAGACAAAAACAACCGAGGCACCTGTCAAGGCGGGAATGTTTGTTTGAATGTTTGAATTCACACTGTTTGCTCCTGGATAAGCGTGCAAGCAAAGCTAACTACATCAGTCAGTCTATCTATTTTTTTAACTTGGTCATTACTCTTTATTTTAGGGAGAATCGAAAGTGGTACGTTAAGGGGCGTAACTTTGTGTACACACCACTACCACGTAAGTAAGGCAACATTTCAGTTTGGTCATATAAGGAAGGAAGAATTTGGTCATATAAGGAAGGAAGAATTTGGTCATATAAGGAAGGAAGAATTTGGTCATATAAGGAAGGAAGAATTGCTTTGAATTTTCAAGAGAAAGCTCTTAAAATGACGAAAGATAAGAATTTTTGAACTTACTTCTGTTTTTATTTGCTCGTCTAATAATACAAGGCTTACCGGTCATACAAAATGCGTTGTCACCGTTTTAACTTCTATCTTTCTGAAACGTCGCATTTTTGTCATCATTGATATATTATTCGATAATTCCTGTATTCTAAAATTCATACTAGTGTAATATTCGTCTATTGGTTTTTCAGAAATACAGTCGACGCCTCGATCCTATCAGTACCGGTGYTYACTTGTAAAGACATAAARACAATAACAACGTCATTTGCATMAAAGTGTTTTTAAAATCGCCAGAAAGAGTTTTAATTCTAAAACTTGATAAACAGTACAGCAAATTAAATGTGATTGACATTGTAAAGAAGTTTTGGAACTTAATGTTGAATATTCTTGCAAATAATTTTCCATATGATATGTGTAAATGACTTTGTTATCAGTTGATATCGTCTTTATAACTGAACAACGTTAAAGGGGTTGACTTTATCATTGTATGTCTTGATTGATGTTTTCTAGACTTCAAGTATTCAGTGGCCATTTTATCTACCGTTGTCGTTGCCGGTGTAATAATTTATCAGGTAAGGTAAGCTTATTGAAATTTAGAGCCCCTTCAGCTACGTAGTGCAGTGATCCTATCATTAAAGAATACCAACCAACCTGTATAGCGCGCACTCTTAAATATCATTTATAGTACCTGTTAGGTGCTTAGTTAAAGGTATTTCTGTCCAAACTGAAAGGACGGAAGACGATTCGCGCTCACTTACGCGCTCAAGTCGGTTAGTTGTGATTCTTAAAACTGAAAAATTTCCTATCGATGTCAAAGAAATCTATGTTGTTTGAAGCTTAAAAATAGATATTAATGTTATAACAAATAAYTCTTCGTGTGCAACCACATTTTCAGGAATCCCCTAAGAAATAAAGAACAAAGCTATCGCCCCCATGTTGGATGAATGAACAAGAGGAACTAAT